GGCTATCTCCGATTTTTTTTCTTAGGTTATTTTTTAGAACATTTTCAATTCGATATCCAATTTTTATGAGAACGCTATTACCTTTTTAAGCTTTTTAATATTTTAAACATTTCTGCGTATCTTTTAAAGTAGTTAGTTTTTTATAGATATATATTATTTATACATGCTCTTTTTATTTTACGTTATACAGGGCCCCCGTTCATACCAGTCCTGCGACTGAAGGGGTCACCCTGTTAAATATCGATTATTATTATTATTATTATTATTATTATTATTATTAATATTATTATTAAACTCTGGAAAAGGAGCTTCTATTTTATTTTGGTGGTGATATGTCAGGGGCAGAATGATATCGAAAGATAAACGAAGGAAAGTTTAAGAGCTAAAAACAATTAAAATGTATGATCTTCTATATTCTACGGCCCCTGAATTTTTCTCTGTCTACTTCAATTCCAACCACTAAAAGAAGCTAAAATTATAGAATACTTGTCCTCCGAAATAAATGACACTCTTAAAATCTTATTAGTAAATTAATATATTTTTTACAACAGATCAGCTATCGATACATTACCTATAATGTTTAGCTTTATTTTTAAAACATTTTATACTGCATTTTGTGTTATTCATATTTTAGTGTAGATATCTTAGTCTTCTCAGTTTGCATTTTGTATTAGTCCGTGTCCTCTTGTTAGTGTGGGTTTCTCCCAGGCTACATGATTTGACACTTAAATAAAGTTTTATCATAATTATTCAGGGTGGAAGCTAAAAACGCATGACACGAACTATTGGCCAAATTAAGTGTTCGCGCAGCAAACATTCCATTCAGATCAAAACTGAAAACCGTCAATCTAAGCCGTTTCTTTCTAAGCATTTCTCGGTGTTCAATAGCAGTGAAACTTAAAGAAATTTTAGTACTTAGATTTTTGAATGGCCTTGCAGATTTAAATTAAAGACTTACCTCAGTTACACCCACGACCGAGATAATGGTAAGAGGTTTCCACTGTCTCAATGAAAATGACAGACCTATCTTCGTGCTTCTTGGTCGAGACCATGAATCTTCATCATGGAAACTCCTGCATGGCTGAAACTGTTCTCTTGGCCATCTAACTTACAGTGTTGCATTGTGCAAGTGAAATTTGCATTTAAATTTGTTTGGTGTGGATAAAACAACCTTGTTCAAGGAAAAGAAAGACGTTTCAATGGAGTTTTAAATCAGTGCTTTCACCTTAATATAATTCGTTTTAGGTAACTTATTGGCTCAAAGAATGGAACCGAATCACGAACGCATTTCTGGGAAATCAAATAAGTTGAAGAACTCTTTCAGTAATGTGATGTATTTATTTAATACTTTCTATTAGGTTACTTCTCCTTTCGTTCATCGTTTAGTTTATCAAAACATTGACTACATGAATTTATCTGCAGTATTGTGAATGTCTAACAACTTTTGAATTTATTTTCATGAAAATGTATAACAATCGCGTAGGTAAAACTATGAACTTAGCCACAATATCTGCAGACTTCAGTTCCAGTGTCGTTTATAAAGAACAGTTGCTTTCACAAAATTGCTGCTCATTGTTGTATCTTTCTTGATGATATTCTTCCAATTCAATATCTCAGAAAGGGTAGTGGTAACATCTTATGGACGGATTGTAAACTCTTGCAACATATTAGAAGAGAATTTTGCACTTTTTGGAGACACTCAAGCTACCAGTAGGTCTCACTTGAAGTTCTAGAGAATTGAAGCCACAGAATTAGCTTTTCTGAGAAACAATGTTGAAGAGTGCACTAAGAACATCACATTATTTAATTTCAACTGTTAGAATCATTTAGATAACTAAGCGAAATAAAATATCAGTATAAAAATTTAAAAAAATTACATATCTGTCTATGACAGTAGTGGTAAAGTTTAGTGAATATTGGTTTCAAAGTCGTGACAAAGTTGCCATCTGCTTTGGTGAATTTAGTCCAGTTTAGATGAGAGTAAAAAAGACCTAATTATAAAGGTTTGTTTGAGGTCTCCCGCTGACAACGAAAAAAACATTATGGCCTAAGCCTAGTAGGTACATCTAAGACCTTAGTTGTTAGCAAAATGCATCTTCATCCATTTCTAGCTCTATTCCGGCTTGTGTAAGTGTTGAGTCAAAAAAATAAAACTCTAACGTCTACTTTATTGCACTAAGTTCACTTGAGTAGTGTCATTTGCTAAGACTGACTGTGATCACTGAGTTCAAAATGAAAGAGGAAACAAATTGAAGTTATTGTTGGTTGTATTAAATACTCGTAACAGTCTTGGCTGTCTTTGAAATCCTATCCCCCAAGGTAAACTTTATTCTTGGAAACTAAAATCTTACCACATGACTATGAGCCAAGTTAAGAGTTTATGAATGCGTGCATTCGATTTATTCAGGTCAAACTGACTGCTAAAACTGACATGTCAACCTAAGCATTTCTTTGCCGTGTGGTCCACGGCGACAAGACATAACACATTTAAATTTAAGTACTTTAAGTTTTGACGGGCCTTGCAGGCTTCAAATTAAAGACTTTCTACAGCTACATCTACGACGTATAATATTAATAAACCCTTACTTATGTTGCGTTGAGAATGACTGATCTGCCGTTTAGGCTTATACCCGCCGAGCTTAACTCTTGCTCTTTGCTCAAGAACATCTTCATCATGGAAACTCCTGAATGGCAAAAACTGAGACTACAATAGCACCGCTAGCATCGATCTTGTACAACTTTCACAGTTCCACTTCACTTCCATTGTCGTTTAGAATTAACAGGTACTTTCACAACATCGCTTCTTATAGCTTTCTTGAATTATATCCTTCCAACTGAACATCGCCGAAATGGTAATGTTTCGTGAATTTCGCTATATAATCTAAAGATTGTTAAACTCACCAAAATATTATTGGAAAAGAAATTTGCATTTTTGGGAGACACTTAAGCCGCCGGTTGGTCTCACTTGAAGTTCTAGAGTATTCAAGTCACATAACTAGCATTTCTGATAAAACACTTATATACTTCAGTTCAAAGGTGAAACGTTTCTGTGCTAGGCTATTCAGGTTCCATGCAACCAAAGTTGTGAAGGCTATTTCTGAACGCCGCTTCCACTAACACGACAGCTTACCATACTTCGGTCTTAATTCCGACTAATTAGAAATTTATATTTCATATAACCAGTGTGCTTCATGCTTTTAAGAATGAACTAAGAATTAATTCAAAGAAACAGTTTAGACCTGACAAGAGAGATGAACTCGGAAAATAAAGGCGTTTTTTAGGAAGGTTTTTTACTCTAAAACTTCAAAACTTAAGGGATTTGATTACGTAGTTTTCTAGGAATTTGAAGTTGGCTCAAGGGCACAAAGGCATTGCACAAAGGCAAGTCGAGTGATATCTTCCCATTAAGTGTGTTTGGTATTCTCTTAGTAACGTAGCTTAAATTATCTGGCACATTCTATAGAAATTAACAGTTGTCGATCCTTGGAAATGAATAAATATTGCATTACTTTGTACTAGAGCAAGCGCGACTTAGCCCGATGCAAAGTGAAAGATAAAGATCACCTAGGAGAACCTTTCAGTTGTCAGTCCTTTTGACATTATTTAAAATGCAGGCCGGAAGTATTGTCAAGTGAATTCATTCCAGATAAGAGGAGAATAAAACTAAAGTTAACAACAATAAAGACCAAAAGAAACAACAGCTCATCAGAGGTTTAATTCCTCGTTTCGCAGAAATCGTTTAAATGCTGTAACTCCCCTGGCCAGAGCGCGAAGACATGAAAGTTTGTTTGGGTCAAAATTCCGAGAAAGTTAAAACAACTTTATTATTAACTTACGCAAATCTAAGACAACTCGCCCACAATAGAACTATTCCAGCGTGATAAAAACCTGCTTGACGTGTTTATGATAATTCTATTTTACTGATTGGTAGGTTGAAGACAAAGGGTAGGCGTTGGCTGACAGACATGCGCAATTGCGTAATTGGAAACGGAAAAAACTGGACGCATCCTTACCCATCAGCCCGCCACAGCTTGCAAGTTGATGTCGTTGAGTCTAACCTGTCCTGGTGGATAAGTCGAAAGTATAGGTGAGTTATTATTTTATGACTGCGTGTTTAAAACAATAAAACCAGTGGTCAAAGTCGCACGCAATGTTGTAGCAGGCAAATATTGCGTTTTTATATGTCATATTCAGTACAAGAAGCAATGGTTTCGCGTACAGTTTCGATGAGGTAGCCAGATCGCGATGAAGGCTAAGGTGCATTTTACTCTAACTTACTTAACAGACTTTTATTCTATGTAGCTGATCTACGTGTTCTGGAAATGCCACTACGATTTAATTTTATACGCCGTACATGTTGAATCTCCTGCTTGCAGCAATTTCAAGTTGGAGCAAGATGGCTATCGAACGATTTTCTTTCAATGAAAAATATAAGCACTTTATTTTCAGTTTCTCTCAGGTCTTTTGATAGTTACTTTCCAAAATTGACTAGGACACGAAGACCGCAATAAGCGGGAAAATACACTGATACAGACCGGTGAAGACCAATTCTGACCGTGGGTTCTTTACCGACGTGACCATTCTTCGGTACTGATTTGAAATTCATACTCATAATATTTTCACTGCTTTTAAGAATGGACCAAGATTTAACACAGAAAGGGGGAAGCAGACTTGATAGGAAGAAGTGAACTCGGTAAAAAGAGGGCGTTTTGTCGAATGTTAATCAATAAACATTGACCGTTCTGCTTTCATCTAAAACAAGCGCAATTTGGCCCGATGCGAGTGAAATTAAAGATCGCTCAGGAGAGCCAGCCCTTAAGTCTTCCCTTGTTTTTCGGATAGTATAAGAAGTAGTTTCATCCAGGTTGGCGAATTAAGTTCAGGTTAGATGATGAAAGTACATATTGAGGATAACAGAAACCGAGAGGAGCTGGCATAGGTTCACAGCTTGAGTTATTCTCTTTTTACAGCGAAATTGTGAACATATATTCACTTATAAATATTTGACTGGGTAGGAAATTCCAAGAACTGCACTGCTACAACCTAGCTAGGTAAATCAAAGATCTTAGTTTTCAGCGAAATGCATCTTCAACCGTTCCCGTTCTTGTGTGCGTCTTGACTCAAAACATTAAAGCTCTGAAGCCCATTTTGCTCCAACTAGTTGAACTGACTCGAGCGATCATTTGCGAAGGCTCGCTGTGACAAGTTCAATATGAAAGGGAAACAAATTGAGGTGGCTCTTGTTGTATGTAATCCTCCTGATAATCTGGCCTCTCTCGGGAATCCTATGCATTGATCGATTCTAATCGTTCTGTGAAAATTAATTTGATATTACTCTGTAAAAACAACTCGAAAGGAAACTGGATGCAGCCAAATTGGCCGATGTTTCCTTGTCTGTCAAGAATTTAAATTGATCTTATGTGAACAATCCACAGTTTCTTGCTGGCATTACAGATTTAAATTAAAGACGTTTTACAATTACATCAACAACCGATATTTTAGTAAGAGCTTTCTGCACTGTCTCAATGAAAATGACTAACCTATCTTTATTCGTGCTTCTTGGTCAAGACCATCAATCTTTATCATGGAAACCCTTGCATGGCTGAAACTGTTCTGTTGGCCACCGAAGCTACGGTGTTATATTGTCCAAGTAAAATTAGCAGTTTAATTGGTTTTGTGTGTATAGATGAAACAAACTTGTTCAAGGTAAAGAAAGTTATTTCGATGGAGTTTTAAGTCAATGCTGTCACTTAACTATAAGTCGCTCTAGGTAACTTATTGGCTCAAAGAATGGAACTGAATCACGAACGCATTTCTGGGAAATTTGACAAGTTGAATTACTCTCTCAGTAATGTGATGTATTAATACTTTAGATCCGGTCATTTCTGCTTTCGCTCATCGTCTGGTTTTTGAAAACATTCGCTACATGCGATTATTTACAGTATGTGTGAATTTCAAACGAATTTTGAAATCATTTTATGAAAGTTTACTGATGTATACTAATCACATAGTTAAAACCATGAACTTGGTCACAATATCTACGGACTTCAGTTCCATTATCGTTCTTTGTTCTTAAAAGAACAGATACTTTCACCAAATAGTTTTTTATATCTTTCTTTATGATATTTTTCCAATTCAACATTTCAGAATGGGCAATGATAATACCCTATTGATTGTGAACCCTTGCATCATATTAGAAGATAAATTTGCATTCTTGGGAGACACTCAAGCCGCCAGTTGGTCTCACTTGAAGTTCTAAAGCATTTAAGCCACAGAATAGGCTTTTCTGAGAAACAATGCTGAAGAGTGCACAAAGCATATCACATTATTTTGATTTCTTAGCGAGTTTTGAAAAAAATCTGTCCATGACAGCAGTGGGAACGTCTAGTGAATATTGGTTTCAAAGTCGTGACAAAGTTGTTTCCAAAATTAACACAAAAGTAATTTTCTTCACAAAGTTGTGCCAAAACCACGTATTAAAATAAACCTTTTCGTAAGTTCAGGACAGAAAGAAGGCGTTGCAACAATTGGAGACAGAATAAACTGTGCATACCTTTCCCAATCAGCCAGCAACAGCTTGTAGATTTTGGCTACTCCGTTTTAACTATCCTGGTGAATAAGTCGAAAGTAAAGGTAAGTTGGTGTAAGATGACTAGGTGCCTTTTTGAAAAACTTTCAAAGTTTTCATGCTGTTGAACAGATCAATAGAATTACGCGTTCTTGAATCTTATTACAAGAAGCCATGGTTCCGCGTCCTTTCCATGATCTAGCTATATCACGTTGAAGACTGAAGTGTATTTCCTCCCTACCTCATTCTTTGTTGCTTATCAACGTGTTGTCGGAATTGGACGATTTAAACGCTGCTCGTGTTGATTTCTTCTGCTTGTCACAATTTCAAGTCAGAGCCAGACGGTCATCGAATGATGATTTTTTTTTTTTCGAATGAAAAATCTCAGCACTTTATTTGAAGTTTCACTTCATTTCTTGATCAGTTCATCCACACGCCCCAATAATTGTTGTTTCGTGTGAAGAGGTTTTGTGCGAGGCGACAGTATTCTGGTCCCAAGCAATGCTCTTAAGACCATCTCTGAACGCAGCTTCCATTGGAATTGACGCGTACTATCCTTCGGTCGTAATTACAAATTTATACTACATCTGTTTGCTTTCTGCTTTTAAACAGGGAAACAGTTTAGACTTGAGCTGAAGGCGATTTTGAGGATGGTTTGTTAAGCTTATAATTAAAGGATTTTATTACGTAGTCTTCCGTTATTTCCGCAACAACCGTGATCCGTCGCTATTCTTAGAGTACAGCGAACCATTGTCGTTTAGAATTAACAGGTACTTTCACAGCATCGCTTCTTATAGCTTTCTTGAATTCATTATATCCTTACAATTCAACATCGCAGGAAGGACCATGATAATGCCCTCTTACTGTTTTTCAGTAATGCTTCATGAATTTCGCTATGTAATTTAAAGATTGTAGAACTCATCCGAAATACTATTGGAAGAGAAATTTGCATTTTTGGGAGAAATTTAAGCCGTCGGTTTCTTTTTAAGAAAATTAATGTTCAAAGTTATGAAGGGCCGCAGCTGGACAATTCAATAGAATAAAGCATCATCACATGACGATGATTCAGCTAGCTAGATTAGATTAACGACGAAGGCCGGGTTTATTTTTCCTCCTGACTTACGAAACAAACTTTTACTCTATGCAGATATTGAATTCCTCTGCTTCTCTTAATTTCAAGGTAGAACAAGACGGCTATCGAATAATACATTTTCTTGGAATAAACAATTTAAGCCGCACTTTATTTTCTGTTTCGCTTCATTTCTTGGTTATTTTGTAAATCAATAAACATACGCAAACCTTAATAACCAGTAAAATACACTTATATACATTAGTTTTGAGGTGAAACGTGTCTATGCGAGGCTATTCAGGTTCCATACAACCAAAGGACTGAAGGCCATTTCTGAACGCCGCTTCCACTGACTCGACTGCATAGATCATTGGTCTTAATTTCAACTAATTAGAAATTTATATTGCATGCAATCCGTGTGGCCGCTTTATCCTTTTAGAATGAACTGAGGATTAATTCAAAGAAACAGTGTAGACCTGACAAGAGAGATGAACTCGGAAAATGAAGGCGTTTTCGAGGAAGATTATTTGCTTTGAAACTTGCAAACTTAGTGGATTTCATTACGTAGTTTTCTAGAAATTTGAAGTTGGCTCAAGGACACAATGGCATTGCACAGAGGGAAGTCGAGTGATATTTTCCCATCAAGTATGTTTGGTATTCTCTGAGTAAAATCAATTAAAATTAACTGCAAATGAAGGTTGCATTACTTTCTACTAAAACAAGCGGAACCTAGCTCAGATCACCCAGGAGAACCTTTTTATGCACGCCGGAAGTATTGTCAACGCTTTGTTGAATTCTCTCCAGATATTTAAGATGAGAATGATACTAAAAAACCAAAAGAGACATCATTTTGGCAGAGGATTAATTCCTTGTTTTTTTCAGATATCGTTTTAAGTGCAGTAACCCTATGGCCAGATCGCGAAGACATGAAAGTTTGTTTGGGTCAAAATTCCAAGAACTACACTGACGTTAAAACAACACTCTAGCTAAGGCAAATCTAAGACAGCTCGTCCACAATAAAGCTCATCAAGCCTGATAAAACCTGCTTGACGTGTTCATGATAATTCTGTTTTAACTGATTGACAAGTTGAAGACAAAGGGTAGGCGTTGGCTGATAGACATGCGCAACTGCGTGATTGGAAACGGGAAAAACTGAGCGCATCCTTCGCCATCAGCCCGCAACAACTCGCAAATTGTTGTTATCGAGTCTAACCTGTTCTGGTGGATAAGCGGAAAGTAAAAGTGAGTTGTCATGTTATGAGTGCGTATTTTAAAAAAAACCAGCGGTCAAAGTCGTAGGCAATGTTGTAGCAAACAAATCTTGCGTTTTTAGGTCATATTACAAGAAGCAATGGTTCTGCGTCCTTTCGACGAGGTATCTAGATCGTGATGAAGGCTAAGGTGTATTTCCCCCTAACTTGCTTAACAGACGTTTGCTCCATTTTGCTGA